AACTACATACAGTAGTTTTAACCAACGCAATTTCTAGAGATTTTATGGATGATAATTCATGACCTTTGATATGGGTAGTTTCAGATTACAATTCCATCTAGAAGTGCATTAGGAAGGCATGACCAGCCAATCAGCACTACTTATTTCACCCTCCCAACCTTTCTCTCACGAGAAATTTGACACTCCTGCTAAATTACCATTTGCTAAGAAGTAATTTTGCCAGTCATAGTAGCCGAGCAGTCTAAGGCGTGCACTGTCTTCGCTCACTCGGAAGCCGGGATCGTGGGTTCAAATGCCACTCAGGGCATGGATGTTTGTGTGCGTTTTTCTGTGTTTCTGTACAGGTAGGGGCCCTGTGACGAGCTGATCACCTGCCCAAGGAGTCCTACCGTATGTCTAAGATCTAGAAAAACCGAAGTGAATGGAGAAGTTCATGGAGGTAGGACTAGGCCCACTGGGGCTGTAGAGCCAAGAAAAAAAAGAGAGGAAAAAAAAAAAGCAATTTTAAAAGACTTTTCAAATCTTCCATATTATGCTGTATTTATACAACAAAAACTTACGGTGTCTCAAACATGACAATAGATCCTAAATAAAGTGAATAAAAAATTCAAAAATTTTATAACCACCATCAATAACTTGCAAAGCAGATTTTAACATTATCATCTCCATGCTTTCAGGAATCAAATGTCAATCAATTTGTGCCCAAAGACCGATAACAGTGCAAAATATTGACATGACACCTGAAGGCAGGAATACTGAAGCCCGAGATGATGTCCACTGCTAGGCAATGGCTTGATAAATACATTCCTGCAGCAATGGATATGCACACAATAGAGAAAATGTTGAAAATGGTGTTTCCTATGTGCTCTGTGCCAGAGTTCTATAGTGAGGACCAGCTGAGAGTCAGGATTTGGTACACACATTCAGTGGTTGGCAATGAGCATGTGAGTAACCTCCATTGTTAGAAGCCACTACAAAGCAAGAACTAGTGAATGCATAACAGACCAAGAAGTCTTCATGCATCCTGTAGTGACATGTAGTTTGTGCAGACTTGTGACATTTGTAATTATGCTCAATAAATCCAGTTATCAATCCAAATCATGTCCCTACTCATGAACACATGACAATATCTTGAAACAAATATAAAGTGATAGAAAACAGTGGTAACTGACAAGAGACATACATTGGGCAATGTTTTTCAGCAGGGTAATAGCAAGAACCATTACCCCCTCTCATCCTCTCTTACAGGGGCAAAGTCCACACTTGGATATATTACCTTTCTCTGTTCCTCAACTTCCTCGCAGTTCCAAATCCACTCGTCTACCCCCCTTTTCTAAATATTTTTGCAGTAACTAACAATAAATAAGAACTGCTGTAGGTAATGTGAAAAAAAAGGGTTGAAAGAACTGATAAGTCTGGATAGATTTGTTGGGCCAACTGTAACACATTTGCAACCTACAAACCGGTAACCTGAGTTACATTCAGAGAAACACATAATTTAAAGGCAGAAGAATTACGTACTTGTCTTGCGCAGTGTGAAACTAGAGAGAGAGAGACAGAGAGAGAGAGAGGTATGTTCTATGACATACAGGGTGTTTCACGACTTTAGGGCATAACTGCACGAGGTGATTTCCTAGGTCTTTGTGATCAAAAAAGTTTATATAAACATGTGTCCGATTCTGGACGGTTACGGAGTTATGACCGTTTCTTCATTCCCGTACATGCCTTTGTGTGAACCGCGTCTGTAAGCTGGCGGGTCGCTATTTTTGGCCAGCTACAGAGAGGGAGTTCTCGTTATCTCGACACTTGAGAGCTACATAAGGCATGGTGGGTTGGTATGTCCGGCGTGGTTCACAACCGAGCGGCAGCCTGTGTTGCGGTCGGCGGTGGCATTTTTGAAAATCAGCTTTAAGCACCAATAAATTCAAATTAAAGGTAATTTCACGAAGTTAACTTTACATTCATACTTTATATGTATCATGTATTATGCTGGTTTATTATTTTGTTCCGTTTATTGTCAGTAATCGTTACCTTCTATTCTGAGTTTAAAATGGTCATAACTCCGTAACTGTCCAAAATCAGACACATGTTTATATGAACTTTTTTGATCACAAAGACATAGGGAATCACCTCCTGCAGTTATGCCCTAAAGTCGTGAAACACCCTGTATATCACCAAATTGTTAAATAATTAAAAATAAATAAAAACAGAAATAAACAAATAATGTTCAGCTCATATGAGAGACCAGTATAAAGCATAACAATAAGGGGGTTCAAAATGGGGCATGAGTAGACTTCAGAATGGAAAATCCTCACCTAGTGAGGAATGACAGATGAAATGCCTAAATAATTTTACAACATTAAAATGGTTTTCAAAATTATGCATGTCAATACAAAAAGCACTCATCATAAGAATTATCCCGTTTTCTTTTTTGAATTCTGCCACTATTTTACAAAATTTAATCCATCTTTTGGTGCAGTTTCCATCATAATATGCAACTGAAATTGAAAACAATCTTGAGAAGATACCAATATTAGTTTACTTTCTTTCAAACTGTGGTCCTGTTTTCTTGGAGAAATAATTGCCTCTACATTATAATTTAAAATCAGCTCTCTGGCAGCAGAATCTGTCCAGTATTAGTAATACTAAAGCCAACTACAGGTCACAAGATTCTGTGCCAGTTTCAATGCCCTCCAATCTTCATAATCCATCCATTTTAATGTTCTGAATGCATTCCTTGTGCCCCATCTAAACTGCATGTCCAACCCATTGACATGTCCCACACTTCACTATCATAACAATCCTAGTAAACCTCTAACAAACACAAGCTTGATTATGCAATATCCTCAACTGCTCACTTACTTCCATCATAGGTCCAATAATTTTTGAGCATTTTGTTTTCAAACATTTAGAAAAAAATTGCTAGCACAACATAAATTACATGACTTACCAACTTTTCTTAGTTACAAGCCATAGAAACCATCAAGCATGTTGCAGACTGAATAATCTGCCATGAAAAATGAGAAAAACTTGATTGAGTGGCACAACACAATAGTAGAACAGCACTACTAGCAAGAAACCATAACACACATCAGTCCAAGTAAAGAAGAAATTCAAGTCGCCTTAATTAGTAAGGTAGGTAATTTTATGCTTTACATTCAAAATTTTAAATAGAAATAATTTTTATAGCCTTCTTAAACTCTAAACATCCACATTACTTACATACTTGAGGGAGGAAACAAGGTAGTTGCAAAGCATGGCTAATGCTTTTAAAGACGAAATAAAACTTGTTACTTTCACAATTCAGTGACAGTGACAAGAGAAGCAATAGGATAATGCATTTTCTGTCACCTCCAACTAGCGAGGCCATCACAGGCTCATTAGCCAGTTCCTCAAACCTTACACTAGTCATTTGTGAGTGCAGGCGCAATTAGAACAGATATGATATAGTGTTAGCTTGAGGGGAGAAGGAAGCACATAACATTCAACCCATGGATACTATGCCAATCAACTATGTCAGCCAAACAGGCATGTTATCACACTTCAGCTATCCAGTGCTTGCACAGCATTCAAGAGTGAGGCAGAAAAACACATATTGCTGCTTGAGGATATCACGATATTCTTTAACATCAATTTTTATTTAAAGTATTTTCAAGCCAAACAATTTTTTTTAAATTATGCAAACTAAAGGTAACAATGTCAATTACTGTTCTAAAAAAGGGGAAGATTTATCTTAACAAAGAAACAAGCACAACAGTTTTGAGAACGTATGGTGAGAATGTGATAGCTGCTTACAGGAAGAAACAGAACACTCAGAATTTCCAGCTAAGAGACTACAAATCACAATGATTAATAATGATCAAAAATCTTATCACCAGCTGTACTTTGAATTGACAAACTAAAATCATACTGTCAGAATGCTGACTTTCTTCTTCTGAAAACTGAACTTTCTGTTGTTGATTTGTTGGAAGAATTTTTAGAAAGTAATATTTCACACCAGAGCCCAGAGAGCATAGTGTGTGTAGTGACAGGACACAGGCTGGATGACCGAGGGGTCAAAGTTTGAGTCCCAGCAGGAGCAAGAATTTACTCTTCTCCATGTCATCCTGTCCAGCTCTGGGACCCAATGGGTACTGGGGAATATTTCCCCTGGGATAAAGCAGCCAGGGCGTGAAGCTGACCACTAAACTCCAGCTAGTGCTGAGGTCAAGAAAATGTCAATCTATACATCCACTCCCCCATATGCCTTCATGGTATAGTGCTTAATTAGCAAAGCACAGGGACAAATTTTATCTTTTTTAATGTTTCACACCTGCTCAAATATTTGATCACCTCACCTCAAACATGAGTATGACATTACCAGAAACAACCAAATTATTTGCCCTATTATTAACTATTCCAAGACCCAATGTGTCTGCTGAGCAGCCACCCTCTGATTTGAAAAGATACCATACTTACCTAAGCAGCATGCAGTCTCAGTGTGGATTAAGTCATCTTTACTGACAACTTAAAAGAAAATTCTTCAAGGCTTAGAAAACAGTACAACAGTCTGTGACAGATATTTTCATAAAATCACTGCATGGAACTAAAGTACAAGGTGTAATAAAAAACAAAGTAAGCTCCCAAGCTGCTAACCATTTGTTCTTAATTTATATTTCCTTCATCTTTTATTCCTTCATTTAATTAATTTTCATTCATATTTGCACAAGTGACTTAGAAGATGCATATACTCATTTGGATAACATTTCTGAAAAAGTCATGCTCAGCTGATGGGAAAAAATTAAGATATTATGGTACAACAACAAAGCAGGAATTGCAGTATTTTCCAGTTAAAGGCTACAAATTTTATTTTATCGCCTGCCACAGCATGCAAGCATGTGATGCTGTTTCATGATCCATGTTTTTTTTTATTGCTAGTGGGGTGGGATTAAGTCCCTTGTACTGTGGCCACTTCTGGCCTATTGTACCATGATCCATGTTTGCTATGATTTATAACTTACCAGGTGTAGTGGCCTGAATTATAACTGGAGCAGGGTGAGGTGGAGGGAGCATGTGTTGCTGTTGTACTGGAGGACAAACCATGCCAGCACCCATGTCTACAAAAAATTCAATAATAATGTAATTACATGCAATAAAAGTAAAAAATTTCACATAGGCCATCTGTAACCACATTTCATACCATACTGATACAAGATGGGACAAACTGGCCAGACACAGATGGCTGAGTTAGAAAGTTTCAAATTAAAAATTCTTATAAAAGGCATCCCTTTCAGAAATGGTGTTAAAGTCAGCCAACCTATATTTGGCATATTGTTTTTGTCATACTGGACAAACCTGACACCCATCACCAGTCACTACATCTTTTGTCATTTTTTGTTTAGTCCTGAATTTTGTGGTACCATTTTGGCATAGGTTTCATTCATGTTCAAATCTAAGGTCAAATCAATTTCACATTTCCTTTAATAACATCAATTCTTCTGTCATCTTTGAATTACCTTTTACCATCATGTCATTTTTTAACAAGAGGATCAGTCATTGAAGATGTAAGATGAACAAATCTTTTACATTTGTAATGTCTTCCCTTTCATCTTGAAACCCCTTAACCACACAAAAACCTGTATTCTACTTGCTGTTTTGTCTCCATAAATTTGTTGTAACATTTTCTAAATGTCAGTGGCATTTGTTTCCACTTGAACTGAAATGTTAACTTCTACTGACCATGCACTGCACTATCATAATGGAATATTCAGGTGGTCCAGCTGGCTGAGTTACAGTTTTTCAATACTATACTATCACCCAGAGTTAAAATATGAGCTGCCAGCCCTGTAGAATCAGGGAATTTAAATCCCTTTCCCAGACAATAAACTTTAACAATGATTTTGTGTTATAACAATTTCTCACCCATGATTTTGACACACGCAAACAAAATACTGCATCAACAGAACATTAGTGTAACCAGATAAGAAAATGTTTCATGACTGTTTTAACAAGAAACTGGTGAATCATGTAGCCACCAGATTCAATATGAGCCAATTTGTCAAGTGTTACCAGTTATTACTGCATTCCTTTAACCAACACTGCCTACATACAGACTTCATTCACATAACTGAAGGCACGGAGGGCCTGATGCAACTACAACTGAGGTGAGAAGCTGTTATAAGCATGAAGCAGAAAAGCAAATGCTGTTGGATCACTATTCTGTCCACCCTTCCGTTGTGTCCTGAAATGTAAAAGGGCACTTTCTTGATATCAGATAATACGTTCCTTACATACATAAAATTTAATGCCTACTTAAGTTCTGCTGTGGGTATGGTGCAACTGCTGGCTGTGATGGAGGGGGTACAAGGACTCCTTGTCCCATTGTTTGATCATAACTTGGAGGAGGAGGAGGGTGATGGTGTCCCACTAGACGCTCTTCCTCCACTATTGGAGCAGATGCTTCTGTCAGCACGCCTTTACTCATTGTAGGGCTATACATCACTTCAATCAGATAAAATATTCACANTGGACAAAAAATGAAACAATTCAAAATATAATAAACAATTTACATATTTAACTTCACTCACTCTGGTCTGTNCATGAAGCAGAAAAGCAAATGCTGTTGGATCACTATTCTGTCCACCCTTCCGTTGTGTCCTGAAATGTAAAAGGGCACTTTCTTGATATCAGATAATACGTTCCTTACATACATAAAATTTAATGCCTACTTAAGTTCTGCTGTGGGTATGGTGCAACTGCTGGCTGTGATGGAGGGGGTACAAGGACTCCTTGTCCCATTGTTTGATCATAACTTGGTGGAGGAGGAGGCTGATGGTGTCCCACTAGACGATCTTCCTCCACTATTGGAGCAGATGCTTCTGTCAGCATGCCTTTACTCATTGTAGGGCTATACATCACTTCAATCAGATAAAATATTCACATGAAACAGAAGTACAGTGAAAAGAAATTTATTTTAATTTGCATAACCAATGATCTCATACAACTTAATCATAATCATATGCTCTACATTAGTTCAGGTACATATCTGATCTCAGTGCCCTTGATACAGATATTAAATAAAAGGAGAACAATTTATTCTGGTACAATTCATGTCCCATTTTTGTCACAAATTTTATATAACCATCATCATCTTCAGTGCTAATGTTGTTAATAACTGTTACCACAAAACAATATTACCAAAATATAATAAAATATCATTTTACCTATTTTGTATGTGTAAAACGTGACCTCTCACATGAAGGGAAAAGCTGAGATTAAAAGTATTTGAGAACAGGGTGCTTAGGAGAATAACTGGACCTATGAGGGATGATGAAGATGGCTGTAAAACAAGGACAGGTTTCCATAAAATGTGATTATAAAGAATTTTATAAAAACTTGTAAAGCCATTTCAATTTCAGTTTAGATTGGCCACATTTAATACCCAATTTAAATGAAAAACTACATTTTATTTTTCTGTAACTTGTTAAATGCTTATTGGAAGGAAAGGTCGTTCACCAAATGTAGGCAAAACTGATACATTTACGTATTTTATGCCTAGTACAATCTCTCCTCAAGTCTCCATGATAATTAAAGGAAATGGCCATTGGGTATTTTTCTGAATTTGCAAAACCACCTGAACACAACAGCAATTAAAGAGGATGTGGAGAGGGGAGGATGGGAGATGTCCTTACTGAATTTATACTGAGCTAAAATCAGACCTGTCTTATTCAGCCCAGTACTTTAATACAGCATGATTCTGAAGCATATAATAAACAATTTACATATTTAACTTCACTCACTCTGGTCTGTCACACTAGTCAATACTATAGAATGATTTGATTACACTGTCCAGTGTAAACATGTAAAGGCATCATATTACTTACTTACTTACTCACTCATGGAGCTGAGCCCTTCTGGAGGAGCCACCAATTCTGCAGCTACTCAAGAATTTTCCAGCATTTTATGGAACCCAAAGGTTTAGTACCGTGTTCACAAGAGCCCTCCACTGGTCCCTATCTTGAGCCACATCAATCCAATCCATAACATCCCATCCTAGCTCACTAACATCCATTTTAATATTTTCCACCCACCTATGCCTTGGTCTTCCCAGTGGTCCTTCTGGCTTTCCCACCAATATCCTTTATGCATTCCTCATCTACCCCATTCGTGCTACATGCCCTGTCAACCTCACCCTCCTTGACTTGATCATTCAAATTATACTTGGAGAAGAGTACAAGTTATGAAGCTCCTCACTGTGCAGTTTTCTCCAACCACCTGTCACTTCATCTCTCTTCAGTCAAAATATTCCCAACACCCTGTTCTCAGACACCCTCAGCCTATCTTCCTCCCTTTATGTCAGAGAACAAGTTTCACACCCATACAGAAAAACAGGCAAAATTATAGTTCTGTATATTCTAATTTTTATGTTCTTTGACAGGAGACAAGAAGACAAAAGGTTCTGGACTAAATGGTAGCAAGCATTACTCGAGTTCAATTTCTTCTTAATTTCCTCCTGAATCAGGTTTCAATCTGTTATCCTTGTTCCCAAATATCTGAACTGTGCCACACTTTCACAACATCTGTTTCCCATATTTATGTCATGATTTTGCCCTGCATTTTGGTGACAAGGCAGCAACCTCTTTACTTGCATCAATTAAAGTTTGTGTGTTTTTCTTTATAGTATCTACATTATCACCCAGCAGATTCACATAATCGGCATAGACCAACAACTGATGTGTGCCGTTTAATTTCAGTCCCACCTGGTTTCCCTGGACCTTCCTAATGGCATATTCTAAAGCAAAGTTGAAAAGGAGTGGTGATAAAGCATCTCCTTGTTTTAGACCATTCTGGATAGGAAATTTATCAGACAAATGTTTACCTACAAGGACTTTACTGTACGTTTCGGTTAAACACATTTTAATCAACCTAACTAGTTTCATGGGTATCCCAAAATCTATCAGAATATTGTACAATACAGTGGAACCTCGCTTAATGAGCACGTCTCATAACAAGTAATTCGCATAACAAGCAAAACAAATTGTACAAAAATGACTCGCATAACGAGTGACGAGAGGGGAAGTCCCAGATTGTGCATTTGCTACATCAGTTTGTGTTTAGCACTCGATCCGCTAGCATCTTAGTGTCGCTTGTGATCACACATTTTTTCAAACTTGTTTTCAGACATATTATTTGTGATTTTTTTTCTGTGCAAAGTTTAATAACCCTTGCAAAAATGTCCCCAAAGAAAAAGCTGCAAAAAGACAGCCATAAGAGAACAAAATTACCATAGAAATGAAACGTAAAATCAATGAAAAGCAAGAACGAGGTGTGAGCGTGGCTGATATAGCATGCACATACAATCGGTCTACATCAATGATTTGCATGATTTGGAGTTGCATTGTATTTCACAGCAAGAAGTTCTGGAGGAGAGTTTGACAGAGGAGGAGGAGGTAACAGCAACGCACCAATCTTCTGGCACAATAAGAGAACTGCTGAAAGCATGGGAATCTGTTGCATCATACATTGAGAAGCATCACCCTAATAAGGCAGTGGCTATGCACGCTACAAATTTATTTAATGATAATGCTGTGTCACATTTTCACCAACTTTTGAAGCATCGGCAAAAACAAATGTCTCTAGACAGCTTTCAAGTAAAAAAGAATTAGATATGTATCATAAATAATAAACTAATTATTTTGATTTTTTTTGTTTGCTGCAAATCTAATTCGCATTCCAGGTTGGTTCATTCCGCATAGAAGAAAAGATGAAGATGATTCACACTCCTTAACAATGTATATATAATTTTCTTTGAATAAATGTTATACATGAAAGTTTTTATAGTATTTTTTTTGGCATGGAACGTATTATCGTATTTCACATTAATTTATATGGGAAAAATTGTTTCGCTTAACGAGTGTTTCGCATTACGAGTAAGATTCTGGAATGAATTATGCTCGTTAAGTGAGGTTCCACTGTACTTCCCTCCTAACTGAACCATAGGCTTTTTTTTAAGTCTATGAATAGCTGATGTACTGTCTCATCATACTCCCATGTTTTCTACAATATGTGACAAACACAAAAGATCTGATCTGTTACATTGAAACCCATACTGATGCAATAATTTCATCTATATATGAACTTAACCTTGAGAGAAGAATATTGGATAAAATTTTGTATGAAGTTGACAGCAATAATTACTACAGTCAGTTTTATCACCCTTCTTGTGAACTGGTACAATAATAGACTCCTTCCAATGATCAGGCAATTTTTCTTTATGCCAAACAGAAGTAACTGGATTGTGGATCTTAGAACATAATATTTTCACCTCCTGCCTGAATAAGTTCTGCCAGAATTTGATCACTACCTGGCGATTTATACCATTTCAATTTTGCAATAGCACTTTCAACCTCAAAAGGGCTAGGATCAGGTACTAACGGCTCCGCTGTATGGATTTTTGTCTGCCTAACATCACTGACCCTATATACATTCAGTAACTGAGAGAAGTAGTTCCTCCGCCTATTCAAAATGTTGTGGGAATCTGCAAGCAGATCACCATTCTCATCCTTCACTAAGTTACTGATAGGTTGGTAACCCCTCTTAAAGTCATTTATTGCTCTATACATGTCTCTAATGTTCTTGTTCTTACTGTTCATTGCAAGCTCATCAATTTTGTCTTTCAGATATTCCTTCTTTTCTTGTTCCTGAAATGCCTGCTGGTTTCATGTCTTATACTGTTCAGATTATCCCCATTTAACTCGCTTGGATCATGTAACCATTGCAATTTGGCATGCGTTCTTTGATCTAATAATTTTGAGCATCCTTCATTGAACCATGGCTTATGCTTCTTCGGTTCATAATAACCTAGACTCTCTTTGGCAGACATTTTTATATTCTCTCTAATAGTTTCCCAAGCTTTATTAACATCCACCTGTTTCCAGGTTTTCCAAAGCCATGAACCTGTTTGAGATTTCAACACAATACTGCTCTTCACCCTCTACCTCATTTAATTATCTTAAATATGTATGCTGCAAGTTACACTCTAGTTAGGCAAGGAGCCATGCAGTATTCTCCCTTCCATGACACACAGGTTTTCCTTTCACATCATCACATATGGAGTACAAAAGCCTAACGCTACGGTGTGGTGCTGCATACTTTTAGTTAAGAGAGGGGCATGGAGCTAGTAATTTTCTAAAATTATGCCTTTGGCTAATTGATGTCCAGAGTAACTGTAGAATTTTTTAAAATTACACAGGCTTTCTATGCAAGCTGAGGGTGCCTTGATTCCATTACTGACAAAGGGGTATGCCAGGGGTCCTCCACCTGCAAACAGGAGTGCACTGGGAAGGGAAAAGACTCCTCATCCAATTTGAATTTTATTGCCCCAACATAACAGATGAGGATGTGAAAGACAATTCCTACAAACAATGAGTGTATGTATCTGAGCAATTTCACTGATTGTATATTAATACGTTGCTACATTATTTCAACATTATATTTAGATTACATATAAGACCTTTACACAAACAGCAGGGAACATGGGTTGAAACATGCCCTTTTACGACTATCACAATATTACAACCACAGATAATCCTATATTTCTTTTTAAGTAATCACCAATCGTTCGTATCCATTTTTTCTGACAAAACACACCTATTACCTCGTGGCCAATGCACACACATAAAATATATATATCTCAATATTAATAAATACTTCAGAACAAAAGCTACATAAAAAATTACACAATACCCACCACTTTCTCAACCTGAACCGCCTTATCAGCACATTCCACTCCCCCACTCTTCTCCACCGTCTCCACCCTATCCAGCTCTGTCGGCTCCAGTCGGCTCTCTTATCATCTGCTGTTCATACGGCTGTAGGAAATTCAAACCAGGGTTCCCAGAGATTACTACATAGTGAGCAGTAACACTGTAGCGCACTGTAGTGACCGTAGTTAAGAGCACGGATCGCTGAGAGAATGAAATTGCATAGAGGCTTGACGGGCTTGACGGTGTTTTGGCTGTTGGGCGTGATCGAAGTCATCGAAAGTAACAACTATCGAATAAGAAGTCGGTTTTACCTACATTCTTTTTATTGCTAGTGGGGTGGGACTAAGTCCCTTGTACTGCGGCCACTTCTGGCCTATTTTGTCAGCCCCAGATGATAGGTGAGGGTGATTGTGGAGCAATTGGTGGAATGAAGATTGGCAGGGGAAACCGAAGTACTCGGAGAAAACCTGTCACAGCGCCACTTTGTCCAGCACAAATCCAACTTGAGCAGACCCCGGATCGAACCCGAGCCGCCGCGGCGGGAAGCCAGCGACTAACCGCTAGAGCTATGGCGCTGCCTTTTACCTACATAATTTCGTCTGTTAACGGCTTTTAAACTTATTTGAATTTACATTATATTGCTTCCAAATTCCTTATTCGAATTTATACTGTACTGCTTTCATACCTGGAATCGGCTGGAGAGGAACATTAGCTTGCGACGTGAGAGTGACGTGTACGTAGGCAGTATCTGTTAGATTCTACTAACGTATGTTTGTGTATCCCATTTCGATTTGAAATACAGTTGTTCGATATTAACGAAAATTGGTATGAACGTTGCATCACAGAATGCACATACACGTACTTTCTATTTTCCTGTGATCAGTGAGATCATGATTAATTCCCGTGATTTTGGGGTAGGAGCGATACCAATGTAACTAACATTGGCTGGATTGGACTATCCTGGGTATCCTGGGGCATCAGCTGCGGATTTGGACAAATGTTTGCCATGTTCGGCCATGTTTCAGAGGAGAATATTGCCAGCATTGGGGGGNGGGGGGGGGGGAGGCAAGAAATTAACATTAACCAAGTAGCAAGATTTTGCTAATTTCTTGCTTGGCGTATTCTTTAATCCTAAATACGGAGATGTATTCCTCCGAAATGTTAACCTTCCACCGGGACCCATGGCGTAATATCCCAAAAGACTAAACGTTTCAGACTTTGGTCAGATTAAATTAGACTATTATTGTGTTTAAGCATCCTGTTGCATTAATGTATCACTTGTACACATATATTGCCATCTTAAGTGCAACTTATTATCTAGTAACCCTTCTTCCTCACCACATATTTTGGCCATATACAGGCATCGTCAGGTGTTGTCTGTGTTGCTAAAATTGTTGCACATTATGTCAACGTTATATGTTGCATGTGCGCGATATTTCCTAATTAAAATTAACGCCTTAATGTAGTTTCCATTGTGGTCATCCATTAATTTAGAAGATATTTGCTTGGAGTATTTCTCGTTGATTTATTCACGCTGCGTTTCATTTGCCATATGGATATTATGCGTATTATTTGTGCAGGTCGTAAGAATGTTGAGATAGTATTATTATCCGTGCCGTTATGTACGCTCAATTGGCTTAACAACATAACTAGTCTAGCAGCGTGGAAAAACCTACAAACCAATCTGATCACCATATTGTAATATGCAATTTACTATGTAACGTAGTACAGGGCGTTCAACCACCGAGGAAACCTGGCAGCAGCGCTGAGCGGTAACAACATTCCTCATAGATTGCTGCTTAATTGCGGATAGCGGAAAAAGTCATTAACGCTGATAAACGCGTGCCGTCAGGTGGTCTGATTTTGTCACTGCGATAAGTCGCATTAATAGTCAGTCTGTGTTAGAGGTGTCGAAAAGCGGCCGACATCTATACTGAAATGAATTTCACTATTGAACAACGTGTGTTTATTGTCGAAACTTTTGCAAGGATAAAAATTTACAGAAAATGTATTCATAAGTTTCGTCGTAAATATCCACACTCGCCAGTTCCCACGAAGTCGTGTGTATCCAAGCTTGTGAAAAAGTGGCGTGTTATGTCATTCTGCAGAGCTTCAGTGCTGCGAGAATTATTCTTGTAGACTTTTCCCTTCAGGTTTCCCGAAAAATAAAAATTGCAAAAGCTGAGATCTGGAGGCCACAGTCCTCTGCTGATTATTCTCTCTTCAAACACTTCCCGTTGCGACCATGGTTGCATTAGCCATATGTGCTGTAGCGTTGTCTTGCTGCAATTTTGTGTAATGGTGTTTTTGGCCTACCAGACATGGCAGGACTGTTTTGTGAATACTGCAGTGCCCCTAGACTATTACCAGTACCTTCAACCTGGCTCAGTCCTGCTGATGTACCTACATATTATTTAGAGCCAGATTAACATTTTGCTGGAAAGTGCTCAAAATGGAGGGGAATTATTTTTTAGGTTTTAGTGTCCAACATTAGCATAGATACAAATTTGAATTTATCACTCCCTCAGTTCTGTCAAGGTGTCAAGACAATGGAAACCTATGTTCACCAAACAATATTTGAATATGGCAGATTTGAGTAAAAATTAAATTATTCATGATTGTCAAAATCATGCAAACAGTACTTAAGTGAACTATGAAAGAAACAGCAACTCATAGGTCTTAAAGATAGCTGTGAACATGCTTCTCAAACAGTGTGGTTTTGCTATGGATGAAACCAACGTTGGTGGAAGGGAGGTGTAGATGTGTCTACACATGAAATTAGAAAAACATCTCTAGTTCTCTTGCCTCCATCACTTATTTCTGTGTATGTTAAGCGGATAACAATTGTTTATCTTTGGAAGTGTACAAATTGCGGTAAAATTAATTTAAATAACCGTAAAAATCTTCACTGAAAATTTTGGTTTGGTGAATATTTAACAGGATTAAAATAAAGGCTATATAAGCCCTCAGCTTGTCTGAATTAACTAACTTCATGGAGCTAAGCCCTTCATGAGAAGCTGCCAATTCACGAACTTCCCAGCATTTTATGGAACCCAAATGTTCTTTACTGTGTTCACAAGAGTTCTCCACTGGTCCCTGTCCTGAGCCAGATCAACCCAGTACATACCACCCCATCCTACTCTCTAAGATACGTTTTAATATTATCCACCCATCTCTGTCTTGGCCTTCCTAGTGGTCTCTCTCCTTCTGGCTTTCTCACCAATATCCTATGTGGGAACTGCCCACATTCAAGCACATGTGACAACACAAGTATCATTGCTTAGCAACGGCAAGTAAACAGTCCCAAGGGACTCGGACCCAAGAAAGACTGCGCTGGCAAGGACCAGCAACATATACAAAAGACAGACCCGTCCTCTCATCAGAGAGGGCGCCACACAAAATCAAGACCGTAACTGTCAAACAGTAATAAATATCTTCGAAACCAAGACTTACTGACTTTGACTTGAAAGTTTACAGTTACAGTTCTAGATTTCTACAGTTCTACAATTCTAGTTCAGTGTTCAAGGAGTTCGCTATTGTTATTATTATTATTATTCAATTCTTCAAAAACAAAGTTCGTCCGTGTATATTGTGCAACTGTAATAAATATTATAGGACAGTTCAACCAGTGGTTGTCTCTTCATATAATGACATCCCACATTGGTGACCCCGACAATACAACACAAATAGTGGACAGCGGTCGAATAGAAAACCTCCTGCAACAGTACGTAACACAGATGGAGAATTTACAAGGCGAACTATGTACCAGACGAGAACAGGAAAACCAGATGGAAGGAAAACATCACGATGCCGGTATTACTAACAGACCTGTACCAACAAAGATATCAAGAATTGCCCTGCGGCTTCCGCCGTTTTGGGCCGACAGACCAGCAGTTTGGTTCGCTCAAGCCGAAGCACAATTCACTTTGGACTGCTTTGGCCGGTATTAGAAGCGAGCAGACCAAGTTCTGCTACGTGATCTCGCAGATGGACCAACGTTATGCCTCGGAAGTAGAGGGCATTATCACCTCTCAGCCGAAACGCGACCCATACACAACGCTGAGAACGGAACTGGTAAGACGGCTATCCCCGTCGAAAGAGCAGCGCACCTGCGAGCTCCTTACACTAGAAGACATGGGCGACCGCAAACCTTCCCAGTTTCTAAGACACCTCAGAAGCCTCGCCCCAGACATGCCAGATGACTTACTCCGCAGCATCTGGTCCAACCGACTTCCTTCTCAAATAAGAATCGTCCTCGCAGGCCAACCCTGCAGGACACCACAGCCCGCTGCGTGGATCGCATTATGCAAGCCGCACCCCAGCAGACACTCGCGAGTGTAGAGCCAACCCCCGAGAAGAATGATACTCGGAAATATGTAGAATAAGAATAATAACAACAATAGCGAACTTCTTGAACACTGAACTAGAATTGTAGAACTGTATAAATCTAGAACTGTAACTGTAAATTTTCAAGTCCAATTCCAAGTCACATTGCGACTGACGGTCCGTCAGTCTGTCTGTCTTGGTGTCGAGCCCCAGCCGAACTTTTTTTAAATTTTTTCTTATATGAAAGTTACTGTCCTGTTAGGGGCCTCCGTAGTCTAGGGGTAACGTTCCCACCTCTTGACTCAAGGTACGCGGGTTCAAACCCGGTGGAGGTCGTGGAATTTTTAAGGGCGGAAGAATTCAGGGAACAAGTCCTCCGGGAGGGACTTTAAGCCATGGGTCCCGTGTCGTAGATTTACGGCACGTAAAAGAACCTCGTGTCTCTAGGAGACCTCTGAGCTAAATTTGGCAAAAAGTTTCCCGCCCAAAGTAGTTTCCAATGCCTCCGGTAGATGGGGAAGTATTAGGTACCACAGCCAGAGGAGGGGGGACCTCTCTGACAGAAAGGGATACGACTGCCAGTAGAAGGTTGGAACCTCGCTGGCAGAAAGTGGCTAATAGCGAGCACCAGTACCGGTAGGGTATGGAGCCAGTAGAAATTAAAAGGGGGACGCACAATGGACCAATAACTGGTCTAAGTGCATGGGGAAACCCACCCCTTCTATACTCAATACTGTCCTGTTCATTTGGGGCGCCCTCTCTGACGAGAGGTCGGGTC